GGGAAAATGTTGTAAGTGGAGTGCCTCAAGGCTCTGTCCTGGGACCTCTGTTGTTTATAATATATATAAATGATTTAGATTCAGGTTTGAGTAGCAACATTTGCAAATTTGCCGATGATACGAAAATCGGTAGGGAAATTAATTCGGAGGAGGACTCACTATCACTTCAAGTTGATCTAGATAGGGTTTTGAAATGGTCAAAGGATTGGCAGATGCAGTTTAATGCTGATAAATGTAAAGTTCTGAGGTTAGGTAATGATGATAGAGTTACAAGATACGAGCTAGATGGTGTTGTGATTGCGAAGTCGGATTGCGAAAGGGATCTGGGAGTTATGATTAGTAAGAATTTAAAACAAAAGGATCAATGCATAAATGTTCGTAATAAGGCAAATCGGACACTTGGATTTATTAATCGCAGCGTTAGTAACAAGACACCTGGTGTGGTTCTCAAGCTATATCTTGCTCTAGTTAGGCCCCATTTAGATTATGCAGTTCAGTTTTGGTCGCCATATTATAGAATGGATATAAATTCACTTGAACGTGTCCAGCGTAGGATGACTAAGTTAATTCCCCAAATTAGAAATCTTTCATATGAAGAAAGATTAACAAAGCTTAAGTTGCATTCACTGGAAAGGCGTAGAGTTAGGGGTGACATGATAGAGGTTTACAAGTGGATGAATGGACATAACCGGGGGGATATTAATAGGGTATTAAAAGTATCAACACAGGACAGAACACGAAACAATGGATATAAATTGGATAAGTTTAGATTTAGGAAAGACTTGGGTAAATACTGGTTCGGTAACAGGGTTGTTGATTTGTGGAACCAATTGCCGCGTAACATTGTGGAGGTGGGGTCCCTCGATTGTTTCAAGCACGGGTTGGACAAGTATATGAGTGGGATTGGGTGGTTATAGAATAGGAGCTGCCTCGTATGGGCCAATAGGCCTTCTGCAGTTACCTTTGTTCTTATGTTCTTATGTTCTTAAAGGGCTAAAAGAGGGTTGACTACTAAAGTTTACACTAAGATTTGTTACAATAAAGGGGAGCATACAAGGGTTACAATACAGGGGAGCATACAGGGGTTACAATAAAGGGGAGCATACAAGAGTTACAATACAGGGGAGCATACAGGGGTTACAATAAAGGGGAGCATACAAGGGTTACAATACAGGGGAGCATACAGGGGTTACAATAAAGGGGAGCATACAAGAGTTACAATACAGGGGAGCATACAGGGGTTACAATAAAGGGGAGCATACAAGGGTTACAATACAGGGGTTACAATAAAGGGGAGCATACAAGGGTTACAATACAGGGGAGCATACAGGGGTTACAATAAAGGGGAGCATACAAGAGTTACAATACAGGGGAGCATACAGGGGTTACAATAAAGGGGAGCATACAAGGGTTACAATACAGGGGAGCATACAGGGGTTACAATAAAGGGGAGCATACAAGGGTTACAATACAGGGGAGCATACAGGGGTTACAATAAAGGGGAGCATACAAGGGTTACAATACAGGGGAGCATACAGGGGTTACAATAAAGGGGAGCATACAAGGGTTACAATATAGAGGAGCATACAGGGGTTACAATAAAGGGGAGCATACAAGGGTTACAATACAGGGGAGCATACAGGGGTTACAATAAAGGGGAGCATACAAGGGTTACAATACAGGGGAGCATACAGGGGTTACAATGAAGGGGAGCATACAAGGGTTACAATACAGGGGAGCATACAGGGGTTACAATAAAGGGGAGCATACAAGGGTTACAATACAGGGGAGCATACAGGGGTTACAATAAAGGGGAGCATACAAGGGTTACAATACAGGGGTTACAATAAAGGGGAGCATACAAGGGTTACAATACAGGGGAGCATACAGGGGTTACAATAAAGGGGAGCATACAAGGGTTACAATACAGGGGAGCATACAGGGGTTACAATAAAGGGGAGCATACAAGGGTTACAATACAGGGGAGCATACAGGGGTTACAATACAGGGGATCATACAAGGGTTACAATACAGGGGAGCATACAGGGGTTACAATACAGGGGAGCATACAGGGGTTACAATACAGGGGAGCATACAGGGGTTACAATACAGGGGAGCATACAGGGGTTACAATACAGGGGAGCATACAGGGGTTACAATACAGGGGAGCATACAGGGGTTACAATAAAGGGGAGCATACAGGGGTTACAATAAAGGGGAGCATACAAGGGTTACAATACAGGGGAGCATACAGGGGTTACAATACAGGGGAGCATACAGGGGTTACAATACAGGGGTTACAATACAGGGGTTACAATAAAGGGGAGCATACAGGGGTTACAATAAAGGGGAGCATACAGGGGTTACAATATAGAGGAGCATACAGGGGTTACAATACAGGGGAGCATACAGGGGTTACAATATAGAGGAGCATACAGGGGTTACAATACAGGGGAGCATACAGGGGTTACAATAAAGGGGAGCATACAAGGGTTACAATACAGGGGAGCATACAGGGGTTACAATAAAGGGGAGCATACAGGGTTACAATACAGGGGAGCATACAGGGGTTACAATACAGGGGTTACAATACAGGGGAGCATACAGGGGTTACAATACAGGGGAGCATACAGGGGTTACAATACAGGGGAGCATACAGGGGTTACAATACAGGGGAGCATACAGGGGTTACAATACAGGGGAGCATACAGGGGTTACAATACAGGGGAGCATACAGGGGTTACAATACAGGGGAGCATACAGGGGTTACAATAAAGGGGAGCATACAGGGGTTACAATAAAGGGGAGCATACAGGGGTTACAATACAGGGGAGCATACAGGGGTTACAATACAGGGGAGCATACAGGGGAGCATACAGGGGTTACAATACAGGGGAGCATACAGGGGTTACAATACAGGGGAGCATACAGGGGTTACAATACAGGGGAGCATACAGGGGTTACAATAAAGGGGAGCATACAGGGGAGCATACAGGGGTTACAATAAAGGGGAGCATACAAGGGTTACAATACAGGGGAGCATACAGGGGTTACAATACAGGGGAGCATACAGGGGTTACAATACAGGGGAGCATACAGGGGTTACAATACAGGGGAGCATACAGGGGTTACAATAAAGGGGAGCATACAGGGGTTACAATAAAGGGGAGCATACAGGGGTTACAATATAGAGGAGCATACAGGGGTTACAATACAGGGGAGCATACAGGGGTTACAATATAGAGGAGCATACAGGGGTTACAATACAGGGGAGCATACAGGGGTTACAATAAAGGGGAGCATACAAGGGTTACAATACAGGGGAGCATACAGGGGTTACAATAAAGGGGAGCATACAGGGGTTACAATACAGGGGAGCATACAGGGGTTACAATACAGGGGAGCATACAGGGGTTACAATAAAGGGGAGCATACAGGGGAGCATACAGGGGTTACAATAAAGGGGAGCATACAAGGGTTACAATACAGGGGAGCATACAGGGGTTACAATAAAGGGGAGCATACAGGGGTTACAATACAGGGGAGCATACAGGGGTTACAATAAAGGGGAGCATACAAGGGTTACAATACAGGGGAGCATACAGGGGTTACAATAAAGGGGAGCATACAGGGGTTACAATAAAGGGGAGCATACAGGGGTTACAATATAGAGGAGCATACAGGGGTTACAATAAAGGGGAGCATACAAGGGTTACAATACAGGGGAGCATACAGGGGTTACAATAAAGGGGAGCATACAGGGGTTACAATAAAGGGGAGCATACAGGGGTTACAATATAGAGGAGCATACAGGGGTTACAATAAAGGGGAGCATACAGGGGTTACAATAAAGGGGAGCATACAGGGGTTACAATAAAGGGGAGCATACAGGGGTTACAATAAAGGGGAGCATACAGGGGTTACAATAAAGGGGAGCATACAGGGGTTACAATAAAGGGGAGCATACAGGGGTTACAATAAAGAGGAGCATACAGGGGTTACAATATAGAGGAGCATACAGGGGTTACAATATAGAGGAGCATACAGGGGTTACAATATAGAGGAGCATACAGGGGTTACAATACAGGGGAGCATACAGGGGTTATAATATAGAGGAGCATACAGGGGTTACAATATAGAGGAGCATACAAGGGTTACAATATAGAGGAGCATACAGGGGTTACAATATAGAAGAGCATACAGGGGTTACAATACAGGGGAGCATACAGGGGTTATAATATAGAAGACCATACAGGGGTTACAATAAAGAGGAGCATACAGGAGTTACAATATAGAGGAGCATACAGGGAAGCATACAGGGGTTACAATAAAGAGGAGCATTCAGGGGTTACAATACAGGGGAGCATACAGGGGTTACAATATAGAGGAGCATTCAGGGGTTACAATAAAGAGGAGCATACAGGAGTTACAATATAGAGGAGCATACAGGGGTTACAATATAGAGGAGCATTCAGGGGTTACAATACAGGGGAGCATACAGGGGTTACAATATAGAGGAGCATTCAGGGGTTACAATAAAGAGGAGCATACAGGAGTTACAATATAGAGGAGCATACAGGGGTTACAATACAGGGGAGCATACAGGAGTTACAATATAGAAGAGCATACAGGGGTTACAATATAGAGGAGCATACAGGAGTTACAATATAGAAGAGCATACAGGGGTTACAATAAAGAGGAGCATACAGGGGTTACAATAAAGAGGAGCATACAGGGGTTACAATAAAGGGGGAGCATACAAGGGTTACAATAAAGAGGAGCATACAGGGGTTACAATAAAGGGGGAGCATACAAGGGTTACAATAAAGAGGAGCATACAGGGGTTACAATAAAAGGGAGCATACAGGGGTTACAATAAAAGGGAGCATACAGGGGTTACAATAAAGGGGAGCATACAAGGGTTACAATAAAGAGGAGCATACAGGGGTTACAATATAGAGGAGCATACAGGGGTTACAATAAAGGGGAGCATACAGGGGTTACAATAAAAGGGAGCATACAGGGGTTACAATATAGAGGAGCATACAGGGGTTACAATATAGAGGAGCATAAAGTGTTACAACGAAGAGGATCATACGAGTAATATAAGGGGCTATAACATAGAGGATCATACGAGTAATATAAGGGGCTATAACATAGAGGATCATACGAGTAATATAAGGGGCTATAACATAGAGGATCATACGAGTAATATAAGGGGCTATAACATAGAGGATCATACGAGTAATATAAGGGGCTATAACATAGAGGATCATACGAGTAATATAAGGGGCTATAACATAGAGGATCATACGAGTAATATAAGGGGCTATAACATAGAGGATCATACGAGTAATATAAGGGGCTATAACATAGAGGATCATACGAGTAATATAAGGGGCTATAACATAGAGGATCATACGAGTAATATAAGGGGCTATAACATAGAGGATCATACGAGTAATATAAGGGGCTATAACATAGAGGATCATACGAGTAATATAAGGGGCTATAACATAGAGGATCATACGAGTAATATAAGGGGCTATAACATAGAGGATCATACGAGTAATATAAGGGGCTATAACATAGAGGATCATACGAGTAATATAAGGGGCTATAACATAGAGGATCATACGAGTAATATAAGGGGCTATAACATAGAGGATCATACGAGTAATATAAGGGGCTATAACATAGAGGATCATACGAGTAATATAAGGGGCTATAACATAGAGGATCATACGAGTAATATAAGGGGCTATAACATAGAGGATCATACGAGTAATATAAGGGGCTAAAACTACATAGAGGATCATACGAGTAATATAAGGGGCTATAACATAGAGGATCATACGAGTAATATAAGGGGCTATAACATAGAGGATCATACGAGTAATATAAGGGGCTATAACATAGAGGATCATACGAGTAATATAAGGGGCTATAACATAGAGGATCATACGAGTAATATAAGGGGCTATAACATAGAGGATCATACGAGTAATATAAGGGGCTATAACATAGAGGATCATACGAGTAATATAAGGGGCTATAACATAGAGGATCATACGAGTAATATAAGGGGCTATAACATAGAGGATCATACGAGTAATATAAGGGGCTATAACATAGAGGATCATACGAGTAATATAAGGGGCTATAACATAGAGGATCATACGAGTAATATAAGGGGCTATAACATAGAGGATCATACAAGTGATACAAGGCTACAACGAAGGAGGACATGAGGATGTATCAATGACTGGGTGATATAGGCTTTACATTACAGAGGGACACTTAAGGGTTACAGTGATGATCAAGCCACACGGGAGCTCCCCGGCCCCCGCTCGGCCGGCCGAGCGGACAACACGCTGGATTTGTGATCCTGTGGTCCCGGGTTCGATCCCAGGCGCCGGCGAGAATCATTGGGCGGAGTTTCTTTCACCCTATGCCCTTGTTACCTATCTTGAGGTTATCATGAGATGATTTCGGGGCTTTTTTTAGTGTCTCCGCGGCCCGGTCCTCGACCAGGCCTCCACCCCCAAGGAAGCAGCCCGTGACAGCTGACTAACACCCAGGTACCTATTTTACTGCTAGGTAACAGGGGCATAGGGTGAAAGAAACTTTGCCCAATGATTCTCGCCGGCGCCTGGGATCGAACCCAGGACCACAGGATCACAAGTCCAGCGTGTTGTCCGCTCGGCCGACCGGCTCCCTAGCAGTAAATAGGTACCTGGGAGTTGGTCAGCTGTCATGGGCTGCTTCCTGGTGTGTGTATTCACCTAGTTGTGTTTGCGGGGGTTGAGCTTTGCTCTTTCGGCCCTCTTCTCAACTGTCAATCAACTGTTTACTAACTACTTTTTTTCCACACCACAAACACACACCCCAGGAAGCAGCCCGTGACAGCTAACTAACTCCCAGGTACCTATTTACTGCTAGGTAACAGGGGCATTCAGGGTGAAAGAAACTTTGCCCATTTGTTTCTGCCTCGTGCGGGAATCGAACCCGCGCCACAGAATTACGAGCCCTGCGCGCTATCCACCAGGCTACGAGGCCCCAGAATGTGTGTGTGTGTGTGTGTTTGTTTTTGTGATGTGAAAAAAAAATAGTAGTAGTATTTAGAAACAGTTGATTGACAGTTGAGAGGCGGGCCGAAAGAGCAGAGCTCAACCACCACAAGCACAACTAGGTGAATACATCAGAAAATGAAGAAATGTCGAAGTTTCGATCCGTCTGGACCAATATCAAGCCGTGTAACTGAAGCAGAGTTGCTGTTGTTATTGTTTTAAATTCAGCTGCTCATAACAAAAAGTTTCAAGCAGCATGGGCTGTGGTGAGCCCGTAAGTGGAGGTTCTTTGGAGCCATTATCTGTATCAATAGCTGATACTGGAGATCTGGGGATGGTGCTGATTGTACCAGTTATGGAGCTGGTGGGTTAGTGTAGACCTCTAGGTCTTCTGTTTTTTCTTTCTTTGAGCTGTTGTTGTTGTTGTTGTTGTATTAGATTTAGCTACTCAGAACGAAATGTCCATGTAGCACGGGCCGTGAGTCCGTGAGTCCGTAATTGAGTTTGGTTATTCGTCATAACCTTGTTACTGTGATATTTGGGTCAGTTTTTAAATGGAGATGGGGTTTCCTTCTTTTTCCCTGTTTCTTTTTTGCTTCTGTTTTAGTGAACTGGTTTTAGTCTTGTTTTTATAACATTATCTTGGTGGCGGATGTAGATGCAGAATGTTCATTAGTATGTCCCATTCGTGAACTGCTTTTCTAATCATTGTAGTCTCTGTGGAATTTGCATCTTGTGCAGCTGCTCTCGTTGGATTTATGTTCAGTTTGATGTGCAGGGCTTCAGTTGCTTCACATTCCAGTAAGTAATGCAATAGTGGTGCCTCTGCATCTGTTCCACAGATATTACACTCTTTAACTATTGGGTTTATTACCTCCCAGCAGCACTTGTAACCAAGTCTGAGTCTGTGTATGGCTACTGCAATGTCTCTGGATATCTTTTTGCCAGGCTTGAGAAAAGTAGTACCCAATGGCTTTTTCATACCACATCGCAGTGGATCTTCCTTCCGCTACTTTGGCTCTGTGTTTGGCTGGGCCTTGCTGTAAGTTGATATGGCTATGCTGTCGTTGGAGTATGGTGAGATGGCCTCCATGAGGAAGTCTTGTACCGAGTAGGTGTCGTATTTGTGCTGCAGCGGCGGAGTTCCTTTTAAGATTTCCTAGTCTGGGGAGTCCGTAACATTCGTAGTTGGTGGTTTTGTCTTTCGTCTCGCAGCCTGAGGTAGGCTCAGGTGTCATGGATTATTGGTAGAAGCTATTTCAGGAGCGTTGGTGGTGCTGTTAGTATTTGTAGACAGCACATCTGTTAGCACGTCTGCTGAGATGGTGATGGTAGAAGTGTTAGGAGCTGGAGAGGAAAATACCTCTGTGCCACCCGGGTATTGGGTGGTTCTAGAGTCTGTGTTGAGATCGACCTCATGGTAGTCCTGGTAGCAGTCTCCAAAGTGATAGTGGAGACAGTAAGTCTTGCATCCGGGGCGGTGATGAGGTCCAGGCTGATGGCTATGTACAGTACGTTGAGTGCTTTGACGAATCATTGATTATCTGGTCCGGCAAGCCTCTCCACTAGTCGAATAAGACCAGGGATAATGCCTGTATGTGTGGCAAGGGACTGTGAGGGTGCTGGTTGGTCCTTAGGTTCTGTATGGAGGCCGGATGATCTCTTAGGAGGAGCCACTGATTGGTAGGGCTGGAACGGTCGTAGTTTGCATCTGGATTGTAGAAGGAAGGCTCAGGAACTGGTCAAGTCCAAGGTCTAAGGTAATGGCGACTTGACTCTGGGTGGTAGGTGGCGTGGTGGTTTTCTCTTTAATTTTCTTCAGCTGTTATGACCACACGTACACTAGTTTGATCATACTGTGGCTGGTGTATGATGTGTTCAAACTGTATAGTTGTATAGTGATATCCTGGCTGATTAGCCTAGTATCACGAATATTATTATATTTATCCAATCTTTCGACAATATACTAGTATAAATTGTGTATTGGCAATGTATGTCTAATATACCTATGCATATTATATTTCAGTATCAAAGGAATTTGCCATGTATTTGTGGATATATATTGGAAGTGTAGTGAATAGCAGAAGCCTAATATCATGTAGCTTGGAAAACTCCATTATGTGCTTATAGCATGAAATGCTACATATTGCTGTATAGGACATGATATGTATATCATAATGTAGAATGTTTACGCTTCAGTATCTGATGTCTGACTAGCATGTATACTGTGAGATATCCATTTCAGTATTGTTCATTGCATTGTTCTCTTGTCATGTCTGTAAATTATATCCTAGTACTGTGAGAGGTATACCACAGAGGCAAGGTTTTGATACTTATGTTGGTATATGATGCTTTTCTTTATTTCATGTATACTTATGTATAACGGCTGACCGGTAACGTCAGCCGTCAGCCATCTAGTCTTGAAGTCCTCCCTTAACCCCCCCCCATTCCCCTCCCCCCCCTTCCGTACCGTCTCCAACCAGTGTTACCATGTCTTGCTAATATGAATTCCCTGTTAACATATTTATATATCATGATATAATCTTTAGTGTACTGATTTATGGATATATATTATTGTGTAGGGTTGTGTATCATAACCCTTGTTGAGTTATTGTATGAATTAGAAGTTATTGAGTGATAAATGTCTGTATATGAACAGTGTCGCGCCCAGCCTGTCTGGCCCCTGAGCGGTCACTACTCTTTGATCTTCCTAGTCGGGCAGATGTGTGTCGCACCCGGTTCTGTTTTAGTGGCCTTATTTGTGTTAATTGACAGCTAGGATATTTAAGATTATGCAGTAGTGTTTAACATTGATAATTTCTACCGACGTACACCATTTATGCCAGGTGGTAGGTGCTTTTATATGTATTATTGAGGTGGGTACCTGAGGATCTTAAGTGATGTCATTGTGCTGTGTATGATATTGATTCCTCAACCACATTTGTTAATAATTGTGACAACAATCCTGTACTGGTAATATCAACATATTAGGCACTAGTGTCCCACTGCACCAGGATAGAGCCTCGTGTCAGCTAGTGCCACGGTTATACAGTTTTCAGGCCTGTTGATGATCATGCAAAGCTTTAACAAGCTAGATAATGTGATAGAATGTAAATTGTAGTGACTTGTAGTTTTCTTATTATTTTACAGTGACCTATGTTATATGCCTCAGTAAACTGGAATATTTTTTGCCAACCTTCATATACCCTAGACTTGTATGATATTTGGCCAGGCTCTGTTTTCCAGCGATGCTGTGGAGCACTAGGTCATAATATTATATGGGGGCCCTTTCCGTGATCTCAATCAGGTAACTCCTGTTGTTCAGGATTATTATGACGTAACTCCTGTGTTCAGGACCTTTATTGTTGTAATCCTAGTGTTCAGGATTAATATTGCGTATGACTCAGTTAGACTGATCTATGCTTATCTTCTAGTTTGTTGTGCCTTTGAAGTGAATGTTCTGGTATCATTTGTAGGAGACGCTTTAATGACTTGTGTCTCTCCGTATGATTCAGCTGGCAGTCCTATGTGACCCCAATTAATACTGCACTGGCAACGCTGCACGCCAGAGGTAAGTGTTCCATGTTTTGCGTCTGTGGGGCATGCTAATCTAGTATATTCTTATTTTAGTAATAGTATTTTTTGTAGAAAGTGTCTAATTAATTAATTAATATGGAGCAAGTAGTAAAAGAGATTTTGCAGAATCCATCAGTGGACAGGATTAAGACCTTAACTATATTAGTGTTGGTTTGTATGGGAAAAACCCTAGAGTTAGATGTGGCACCCAGAATAACTAAAGCTAAATTATTGTGAATATTTTTTTTGCATCTACTAGAAGATGCCATGTTGAGTGATGAGGTATTAGAGGAAAACCCTGACGAGGCTGAGAGTACTGCTAGACTGAGAAGGCAGGAATTAGAACTTCAGCTAAGGCAAGTTGAACTAGAGAGGTTTAAGTGTGAAGAAAACACTGAGCAAAGAGAAGCTGAGTCAGAGGTAGCTAGACTCAGAAGAGAAACTGAGTTAGATGTAGCTAGACTCAAGAGAAGAGGTAACTAGGCAAAGAGAAGCTGAGTTAGAAGTAGCTAGACTCAGAGATGAGGAAACTAGGCAGAGAGAAGCCGAGTTAGAGTTAGGTAGACTCA